CATTTTCTCAGATATACAAGAAAATCCATAAAATAAGTGAATATGCATACACAAGTGTACATATAGTCATGGATCTCAGTGAGGAGAGGGGTTGGGTTTGTTGGATATAGTTGCTCAGATATCTTTTTTACCTGCACCTGTAGCAAATGAATGACTTGAGGTTCAGTTCATGAGTTTATACTGGGATCATTACAGGAAAGGCAGGGAAACAACATCTTGTGATGAAGTTTCGTGGGTCATTTTAACAATGTTGTATCATTAAAAAAATAAGTAACATTTCATGTGCTTCTGCGCTATCATATTTGAGACTACCAAAACCGGGCCAACACACATGTCATATGTACTAACAAGACTTAAGTAGCTTGTAGGATTTCTTTTTTTTCCCTTCCCATATGGACACCAATGTGATTATAGACTTTAAGGGGTCATTGACAGCAAGTGAGGCAATATCCTAAGGTAGCAGCTTTCCAAAGATTATGAGAGAGTTAATCAATTTTATTAGCTCAGAGTGGATTATCTCCCACTGAATCCAGCTGCTGGTCCCTTAGTCCCAGCTGTTCATGCAATTGAATACACGGCACAGATTAAACTTCTAGAATGGGTCTTGGTCTCTGTCAAAGGCCATCTTTTCTCTACTAAAGGCTCCTAATGGTAAAAGATCAAATCACATTCATGCCACAGAGTCACCAATATACTTCCCCACATTATTACAGCTTGCTGTGAGGATTTCTTAAATTTGTTCATACACACAGACATATATACACACATATGTGGGGATATGTGTGTACATATACACAGACATTGTATACATGCATACACACATGTATGACTCATGTAAAAATCAGATTCATTCTTTTTTTTTTTTTTTTTGGGGTTTTTCGAGACAGGGTTTCTCTGTGGCTTTGGAGGCTGTCCTGGAACTCGCTCGGTAGTCCAGGCTGGTCTCGAACTCACAGAGATCCGCCTGCCTCTGCCTCCCAAGTGCTGGGATTAAAGGCGTGCGCCACCAACGCCCGGCTCAGATTCATTCTTATTCAGTGGTTTTGAACTTTGTGAAACATATTTTTCTTCCCCAACTACTCAAGCTACTCAGTCTATGGGAGACAAACATCAAAGTGAAAACTAAGCACACAGATGTGGAAACTTTCTTTGTAGTGAAATGAAGATTCAGTAAACACACAGATGAAACTGCAAGTTCAATTCTGCTCCTCACTTAAAGAAACTAGATTCTGCTTTGGGAATATCATCTTCCAATCAACTGTCTATGAGAATTAAAATAGAAAATACTTATGGTATACTATTATTACACTGTATGAGTGCATAATTGATTAAGGAGAAAATGACAATAAAATATGAAATACTTTAGGGAGTTTAGTTACTCTGCAATTGTAAAATGTTTCCCAAAATTTAACAATAAAGTGACAAAAGAGTGTCAGGAAGCCTGGTTACCTTCAACTGCAGAGATTAAAGGTTAAGCATGGAGGTGAATTGGGAAGCAGTAAGGACCTTTTCCTATTTTCTTTATTGTTGAAATTGAATTATTATCAAAGAGGGTTATTGTTTTAATGCCATAGAATGATAGACACCACAAAGAAAGAGGAAACTTGGATTCCAATCCTTTGTCTATTACTTAGGAATCTTAGGTAAATCATGAGTAAAATAATGGAAATGGAATGTCTTCCAAATACTCTAATCAATATCTGAATTCTAACAGTCATTTCATTTGCAATTAAATAAATGAAGGCATATTTCAAACAGACTCAATTCACACCACAAAATTTAAATGTCTTTTGTTGCTGTGTGCCTTTGTTTTGTAGTTTTGAGTGAGTCACTGCCTATTCAGCTGAGGTTGACCTTGAACTCAGGACCTTCCTGACTCTGCCTCCCAAAGAATGGAATTACAGGCATGTGCCAAGAGACTAAATGAAATGCTCATTTACATAGGAATCCTAATCACACAGCTTAGAAAACTGTGAAACTTTGGTTGAATCATGATGCTAGTTTTGAAATGATCACTATTTTGTTCCCTGAGAAGGCTTGTCGTTAAATGTTACTGTATAGACTGAGGCTAGAAAGAAAACCCATTATCAATGCTTATATAATGGTTTGCTATTGCTATTCATATTAGTAGTTGCTTTTTGAATTCATAAAATTTGTATTTTTAATACATAGACTACTATGAATTAAATAAAGTCCAAATATATATAAAATTAAGAGACATCCACCAATATAAATAAGCTAACACAAGACATCATAAATTCATGTATTAGTTTATATATTCATTGTCCAAAGTTTTGGCTATAATTTATTTGTCTGGAATTTAGTTCAATTAGATAGTTTACATGGTTCTGCCTTTGCTTCTCAAATGTTAGTGAAGGAAATTAAATAACTACTTCTTCATAAGGGAAAATTGTTGCATTTTCATTCCTGAAATTAAGAACAGTTCTAAAAAATCAAGTTGGAAAATGCTGTTACTTAAGCACCACCGTAATAGGAAGTGTATTAAGTAATGGTTTCAAGCCACGATTCAATTTCTGTTTTTCCTCCCTGCTTCCTTATTCTCAGCCTCTTTTTCTGTTTACCTACCACTCTTCTCAGTAAAATCAGTTCACATGTAGCATTCAAATAATGACAACTTGTTCATGAATTACCTATGTCATTTATACAATGGTTAATGTGTTTTTCCAAGGCAAGTGTTTACTTTAGACCTACTCTCTTGGTGGTACATCACTAAAAGCATTACATACTCAACAATGTACCAGTCCAATATTGGTGTGCCTGTCTCTTCCTTACCTGTTATATTTGATTGCTGGAAATTTCTTACTAACTACAGGAACTTTAAATCCAGGACTGTCTTTAGTTCTTTATAAGAATTTTTACAAATCTCTGCCATATTTTATGACAAAATAATTTATCTGTTCATAGATAATTCTGAGACAATTTTAATATTGTGACATAAATTAGAATTATGTCAGAATACATGGATTTGAACTTATGCTTCTCACAAAACAGAGCAGACAGCATTAGTCCTTGCTTTACTTTGCTCAACTGTGAGGTGTCATTTTAGGGAAGACTCATTGTTTTTGGATATAGTCTACATTTGAATTATCCCATTACCACAAAAAAGGTAAATATCTCTGGAAGGAAATTTAGAGCTCCTTTGATTCAGGTTAAGCCTACCTATTGTTCACACAACACACCACACATGAACATCCTCAGCAAATGCAAACTTAAATAAGGGTGTAGAGTATTCTTAGTCTAATACTATGTAGAATTAGGAATTTTTTCATATTTAGGAAACCAACAGTAAAGTTAGTACTCATGCCCCTGTGAGTTTTGATGCAGCTGAACACATTTACTGAAAACTACTGCTGGTGGCTGTGTTCCTGCCCAGAGGACACAAGACAAGACACAAAGAAAACAAAATGAAGTAAAATGCCTGGTAATGGGAAAGGGGAGGTTTTTAAGGCAATCCTTGCTAATCAAATTCCCTATGTAATTCATTAATGTAATGTAGAATCTAGAACACATCCTCTCCATCAACTGCAAAGGTGAGGGTGGCAATTTAAGTTTTATTCCCCTGAAGTTGCTCAGAGAAATACCAAGAATGGTACATTCACAGAGCCCATGCTTAAATAGCGAACAGTGCAAAGTTTCTTACGTTTCTTTGAATACTCCTAAGTGTATTCTTTAAACATTAACCCTATGTTGAAGAGTTCTGTGCAATAAAATGCAACCATAAAATTAATACTTTACAAATTATTTAAATCGTGAGCTGTGTGGGACCTTATGTTAAGATTATACGTAAACAGAAATCGTGATGCAAACTGTAGTGTTTAAATCACCTCTCTCCTTCCTTAAACCCCTTTGTCACATTCATTGACTGGGCACAATAGCTATTTTTCCTCAAGCCAACCACAAACAACCTGGCTTAGGCAGGAAAGGCTGCTGCACTCAAGAAGCTCACACAGAAATCCCTTAGGACAAGAGGGCAAGAGAGACTACGACACACCTGAAGAGCTTGTTGTGGAGGTCATCGGTACAACGCTCCCCTCTTAGGCACTAAACACAAAGAGAAGCAGGGCTTTGACTTAACTCAAATTTCAAAAATGATTCCACGGGGTAACTCTGCTGCCACCTTGTCCTCTCTCAAGAAGAATCTGTTTAACTGCAAGAGTTGATAGCCTTTGGGTGGAGGCAATGCCCTAGGGACATTTACAACTGGACTATGTGGGTGTTGTGCTCTAGATCTGAAAGCAAGACCAATTCAGGAAAAACAGGTAAAATAAGATTCCTTCTCTGTGGTCAGCCAACAAGCCCACAGATAAGATGGAATCTAAACACAGTAAATAGTTATGCACTTTGAAACAATGACAAAAAGTTTAGTCCCACAAGCTTTGCTGTTTTTGTCCTAGTCGTTCCACGGTTTGAGCATGCCCCAAACGGTCCAGATGCAGAGACACAATACACAGAAGGCAGGATCAATGTGTGTCAGTGTCAGTCTTGAGGTGAGTGTCAGAAAAGCTAGGAGGCAGCATCATATGGAGAGAATGAGGTCAGAATTTACTATGACTGAGAAGGGACTGGACTGCAGGACGGGTGGCCCTGTGGTCAGACTTGGAGGGGAGGTGGGTCAGGGGAGGACTTCGTGGAGAAAGCTGGCTCTGCTAGAAGAGGAAATTCAGAAAGAAGAGGGGACAACGAGGGCAGCAAAGACCCTGTTTGAAGTGAGGCCGATCAGGTGCTATCTGCAGGGGGAGTGAGAGTAGCAGCCAGAGGGCTGAAGGGTGACAAGGGACCAAGATCTACAAGCAGCTATCTCTGAAAGAGAAAGGGTTCAGGTGTCCAGCTGGTGGAGTTAAACCAAACGTCCCCGGAGACCTGGGGGAGACACTGTGCCAGAAGGACACCCAGCAGGTGGTTGGGGTTCCTCTCGCTTCTAAGGATGTTTTGTGGGACCTCAGCTCTGTCCCTGACACCCTGGACTCTCTGGTACTTACCGATTCCATCCCAACGAGGGAAAGCGCCATCCAGGGCGCGTGAGTGTAGCGCAACGCGGGAGGGACGAGGGCTTGCGGCGGTGGCGGCGCTGTCCTAGAAGCAGAGCTGGAGTCGGGGGACAGCCTGGCGGCGAGAGCGGCGGCGGGGGCGCAGGGCACCGGGGGCGGAGAGAGCGGTGGCTACAGAGCTGCAGCGCCCCGCGCGCTCTCTGCCCATCTCCGGGGCTGCTGAGGCTGCTGCTGCCCAGAGCAGCCAGGCGAGGGGGAGGGGAGCAGGCACGCGGCAAGGAGGGAGAGCAAAGAAAGCCGGGAGGGAGGGGGGAGGGATGCGCGAGGGGAGATAGAGATGATCACTGCGAGTTGGGAAGAGAAAGGAGGAGCATAGCAGCCGACTACAGGTTCTCACCAGAGAAGCTCCTAGCTGAGGCTGTGGGTCTTACCCCAATCCCCTGCCTCTCCATGCTTCCCCCTTCGCGCCCTTTCCTTTGGCTCTTCCTCCGGCGCCTGTGGCTGGGAGTACCCACTCTTTGCCGCCGCTGCAGTTTCAGCAAGCTGCCGCTTGTGCTGAGCCGGGAGGCTGCAGAGACAGAGCTCTGGGCACCAGGCCTGTGGCACCTGTGCATGCTCTCCTAGCCGCTGGTTCCACCGCAGAGGTTCCCAGATACAGACTCTCAGGGTTTCACCGTCCTCCACTCTCCTTTTTGGTCAAACTGTGATTCTATACGTGTATCAACCGCATCTACCTAGTGCTCTATTGCTGTTTGTTTCCCTGGGTGCTATTTGACACCAACTGTCCAGCCAGAAGGGGACATCAGGGAGCTCAGTATGGGCAACCTTCTCTTGTCCCTTCAGTCTACTGTGTGGTCATGGATGGAGGTGTTTGTTCTAGACTAGGGTTGACCAGCTCAAGATGGGTGAAAAAACAAAACAAAACAAAATTGGATCAGATTATTTTAGTAATTTGGGAATGTTGCACATGTGGAGGACAGGGCTGCAATCAGTACAGGTTTTCCTCATTAACTAACATTAAAAAACAAATAGATAGGTAGATAGGTGGATAGCTAGACAGACAGACAGACAGACAGACAGACAGATAGCAAGGAAGGGCTTAGCCTTCATTACCCCTCCTCCCATTTCCCTGGGACGGGTTTGTTTACTTATTGGACTACAAATCCATCCTGAATATTTGTTCTTAAACTACAGTAATTCAAATACATACAGAAACTATATTTAGCACCTCCTCCTACTTACCAAGAATCAGGAAATGAAGTCACACATTTAGAAAATACAAAGACAATAAGAATAATATTAACTGATTCCTATGAATCTTGGTTTTCATAATCATCACTAATTGGGGATAGACAGCAATCAGGGAACAAGAGGATGATGTGTATAGAGATACAGGTAGAAAGGGAGTCTAAGAAAACTCTCCTCAAATAATACAGGAAGTGCCTCTTTACCCCTTAAGGGAGCACTGGAGGAAGGAGGTTCTGGTTGGTGTGTGTGTGTGTGTGTGTGTGTGTGTGTGTGTGTGTGTATCTACATGCTGCTTTTTTAAATGTCGTAATCTTTCATCTGCAAAAGGAATTTACTCCCTAGAATAATTTAAACATTTTATTTTACATACCTATATCTTGTCTTATATAACAAATGTACTCATAATAAAATAAATGTACTCTCGATCATAGATGCGGTATGAAAACACTTTTAATGCAACAAGCCAGTCCTAAAGATTAATGAAAACCTTCTATATCTTCTTGTATCTTTTTATATGAACAAAAGTAAGATTTTAGTGACAAATTAATATTTGATTATATCCTGACTTGTTAGTCTCTTTCCTGTTGAGCATGCATGCTAATAAAAATATTTGGTTTCACATCTACCTAGTGATGAGTCAGAGAAACATCTACTTAGTAAGGGCCAACAGACCATATGCCCCAGACTCAAAAGACATATGCAATCTGCAACAGTTAAATCTACTGACTGGTAATCTATCAATCACATAAAAAACATAGAAGGAAAAAGAGTGATGAAGCCTAATATCCAATTCAGCACTCTTGTGTTTATCAGAGATGAATGATAAAGTTTGCAAATGGTGTTAACTTCTTAGTCAAGGGGTAGTTACTGAGAATTAACTAAGATACAGATTTCTTCATATATGGTTAGGATATCACTATTTTCATTTTAACATAATATATTCATATAATTTAATAAAATGGAGAAATTCACACATGTATACAGAATAATTTTATATAAACCATTACCCTTACTCCTTCTATAATGCACCCCTACCGCTACCTCAATCCATGTGCTCTGACATTGGTTTTTTTATACCCGTAGTTTGAATGATTGTGGCCTCCACAGATTCATATATTTTTGTCACTGGGGGTGAACTTTTGGTTTAAAAAACCACCTGACATCCCTAATGTGCTCTGTGCTCCTTGCTTGTAGTCTAAGATGGGAGTTCTCAGATGTTTCTCTCATCATCATTTTGCTTCACCATCGTGAACTCTTATTCTCTGGAGCCACTATCCCAATTATATAAGACAGGGTTGTCCATTGGTGTATGTTCATCTTATTGGTTGATGAATAAAGCACTGTTGGGCCAATGGGCAAGGAGGAAATAAGATAGGCAGGACTAGGAGAGAAGAAGTCTGAGAAAGGTAGGAAAGAGAGCCTGCCAGAACAGTTGCCATGTAGCAGGCAAAGGAGGTGCAGGTCAAGGATTCCCTGGTAAGCCAAGACCACGTGGAAATACATAGATTAGTAGTCATGGGTTAATAACTAAGACAGAGCTAGCCAGCAGAAGCCCTAGTCATCTGCCCACAGTATTATAATTAATATAAGTCTCCGAGTGTTCATTTGGGGCTGACAAGGCCGTGGGACCAGGCTGACAGGAAAGAGTGCTCATAATAATATACTTTCTTTATAAACTGCCTGGGCCATGGTGTTTTACCACAACAATGGAAATGTGATTAATATAATAACCCACCAAGACAGATTTGTACTCATGGGTTAGAGGCTATCCACTAGAGTATGGTTGACCTACCAGGGGACACACCCTTAAAGAAAACACACTGTCTCTCCTTCAGCACCTCTCAACTCTCAGCTTCTCAGATTAGAAGTATTGGAAGTTCATGGCTAGCTTTAGTGGGAATGCTGCAGAGTTAAAATGTCTTCTGCAAGCAATTTCAGCTACTATGAGTTCATGTGTGTAGTGACCCTGTGATGTCCTAAAGACACTGTTTCTCCCAGATGTTCCAAAGCCTGAATCAGTCATAATGGGGCATCTTTATCATACTTGTCTTAATAAGATAATTTGCCTTTGGGAAGCTTTAGTGTTGTCTCCATATATTTGTATCATCACTTGGCAATAGCAATACTTGTGTAGTCTCATTCTATAGTTGTGAAATGGAAAAAGAATGGAAGCTAAAATTCCTTAAATCTAAGCAAAGAGAAGACAAGGAAACACAGTCTCATTTCAGCTTTCTTCCTCGGTCATGTGACCCACTAGAGGCAAGAAGAAGAAGAGGAATATAAAAGAAGAAGGACACTCTGATCTTCTTGCCTGTGGACTTAGATTTCAATCTTTATTTGGGGGTGAATGAATTTTCATCTCTACCATAGAATTCTCTCTTCCTCCTGTCTTGTTTGACCTCCATTACTGCATAACTCTACCATGAATTACAATAACAGAAACCAAAATAAATTGATTAATAAAATAAAAATTTGTTTGAATAGCTTGGTACTTTGAATTTACTTATTTGAAAACAAACTCATCTGAAATTTTCTGAAACTGGAGCTTGCAAGGGCCTTGTATATGAGCTATTAACACACATGTAGTAGGAAATATTTAGTGCAGTAAAATCCTGTATTTATACAATAGATACTAGATGAACACACTGGTCAAGTACTAGCTAAAGGGTACTACAATGAAATTCTAACTTTGCCATGGAAAAACTTATTGACCAATGAGTCAATAAACTATTTAATCAGTAAAACAATATGATAATGACATTAATGGTATGTTTTAGGCCTAAATAATAAATAAATAATTTTATTATAGTCAATAAGATGTATAAGAGGTAAATGAAGAAAGATCTTGAGGTTCTGCTACAGTGAATTTATGTATGAACTGTAGATGGAATTTTCTTTGGGCCACCAGCTCACAAAGAACACCAAGGAGATTTACTATTAATTATAAAGGCCCAGCTGGTAACTTAGATTTGTTTCTAACTAGCTCTTATTACTTAAATTATCCCATTTCTATCAATTTACTTTTTGTCTCATGGCTCTGGACTGCCCGTGAGGCTTCTTCTGAGTCCTGGTGTCTCCTTGTGACTCTGCCCTTGTCAGCATTCTTTCTGCCCTGAAAATCCTGCCTATCTATTGGCCATTTAGCTTTTTATTCAACCAATCAAAGTAAAATAACTTCAAACCATTTAAAGGAATATTCTACAACCATGAGCTTATAGTGACCAACCTCCCTGTTTTAGCAGCCAGGACAGGCTACCATGTGTTTGAATGACCTTGCAGCTCCTGTCCTGGTCACTAGGAGGTCAGATGCCCTCCTCATGGCAAGAAGCCAATCAAAAGTTAGCTGGCAGGGTTGTGCTTTATGACTCTGGGTGTGCTTTACGGACAGTGTACAACAGTGATGTATAGAGCATAGCAACTACCCTCGGAGGGCCTATGGGCTATAACAACCAGTTAAGTAGCCTGTCATAGCTGCTAAAATGGGGAGGCTGGTCACTACATTCCCCCCTTCTCGAAGTACCCATGACAGGACTCAATCCTGATTCCTGCCTGTTAGGGGTTCAAAGGGGTATTAACAAGCCCTGTCATTAGTGAACAGAGTTTTTGAGGGAGTGACATTTGCATCTGTTGTCATATTATTCCCTATGTAAGGGAGTTTCCTTTTGACTTATCATCTTAAACTAGGGAAAGGGAGCAATGTATTCTTTCCCATGCTACTTCCTCCTGACTTTGGGATGCAGTTAGGGACCCAAGAAGGCTGAAATGCTAGTCAAAAGCAAAAAGGGAAATCAGGCAATGGGGTATCTATCAGGAACAGCTGCTTGGAAGACTCTGTTGAAGAGATAGGGGTGTCCACATCAAATAAACTGGTTCACAACCACAGCAAGTCCAGGGCTGCAGTCTTTAGGAGCCAGGTGTGGTCAGCAACTGATGCTCAGATTCGTCTGCCAGAAGCAGAAACCAGTTTAAGACAT